GTCAGGGAAGTGGCCTTCATACAGTGAGTGGCTCAGGGCACCCTGGGGGAAACCTCACACTCAGGTTCTGCTCCAGTGGTGGTCCCGGCCCCATGCAGGGCTGCTCTGGGGAAGCGGCGGGAGGAGGGTGGAAGTGCGGCACATGTACTGAAGGGCGGAAACCAGGGGTCTGGCCTCCAGTCCCTCTGCTCACTCACCGGGGAGCCTGCTTGTCCTGTCTCTCCTCTCTCCCCCTTCTCCCCCGGGCTCCCCATCCGGCCATCTTCTCCCTTCATCCCTGGAGGCCCATCCTTTCCTGGGGGTCCTTCTGGACCAGCGGGGCCCAGGTCCCCTGGCTTGCCTCGAGGTCCCTGTGGAGCATGGCGACGCGTATCAGGCGCAGTGATGGAGACAAGAGCAAGGGGAGAACGTGGGAGAATGGACGGGCGGGTGGCCAGGTCGTCGGCCAGGTCCACTGGGGCTTGGCTGGCCAAGGCAGCCAGGGGTCCTGGGGCAAGAGCCCACCTGTCCCAGGAGGGGCCTGCCTGGCTTCCCAGGTGGGCTGCTGTGTGGGCCTTCACCGAGCGGGCTCCCTTTGCTTGCCCCATCCCTTCACTGGCCCTCAAAGACTCCCCTGGGTTTGTTCCAGAGCCTTCCTCGCCCTCCTCCCACCTCTCCAGGCCTGGGCTCACGTCCAGGCGTTCTTACCTTTTCTCCGTCATGTCCTGGAGGGCCTGGCAGTCCAATCTCCCCCTGTGGCCAGAAGTAAAGGTCACTCTCTGAGCCCAGAATATAAACAGACATAATTGCCATTGACCCTGTGGGGCCTTCATCTCTGCACTTGTGCACACAATGAGCCCACTGCCATCTCACTGCACTCCTGAGAGCTTGTGCACACCGTGACCCCACTGCCATCTCACTGCACTCCTGAGAGCTTGTGCACACCGTGACCCCACTGCCATCTCACTGCACTCCTGAGAGCCTGTGCACACCGTGACCCCACTGCCATCTCACTGCACTCCTGAGAGCTTGTGCACAC